ACGAGAAGTGCCGGTCTTTTTGGGTCTGGTTCGTAGTACTGTATGTACATTACAGGAAGTTGGCTCGTTAGATGTGCAGACGAGGGGTGCCCACCTCTTCCGGGTCACTGAGGTTTTTACTGCTGACTGTATCCTCATTAGGAAGATTTAATCTCACTTCCTGTCTTTGAGACAACAGGAAGTGAGAGGAAATCTATCCCTAGGAAGTGAAATTCACTCCTCTAAGAGTTATCACGGGAAAAAGGTGTCTCCACTGAAGCTTTATCACCAATCCTTGTTTCCAATTTTCGAAATCCAATTGTCACAGAATGAGGTGAAATCTTTTGAACAGGGGGGACACACAGCACAACAAATGTTACAGGGGGTTAACCCTTCCCTATGGTATCCAAAACAATCTCCTTGACCTGTTTCAGTCTGGCTTTCGTCCACAATACCCCACAGAAACTGCCCTTCTAAAAAAACATACTAATGATCTACTAACTGCTAAAACCAACGGTCACTACTCTGTTCTCATACTTTTAGACCTTTCTGCACCTTTGACACAGTTGATCACCCGCTTCTCCCTAATGAACTTGGCCTCCAAGACTCTGCTTTCTCATGGTTCAACCACCAACCTATCTCAGGGTCACTTACAATTCTACCTCCTCCTCTTCCCATGAGGGTCCCCCAAGGGTCTGTCCTTGGGCCCCCTTCTATTCTCCATCTACACTTCTTCCCTGGGTCAATTGATAGCTTCCTATGGGTTCCAAAACTATCTTTATTTTGGGTGATGACACCCAAATCTATCTCTCCATTCCTCAGCTCACCCCTTCTGTCTCTTCGCATATCACTAATCTATTCACTGACATCTCAGCATGGATGTCACACCACTTCCTCAAACTGTCCAAAACTGAGCTTATAATATTCACTCTGTGTTCACTACCCCGACTTCTCCATCACAATCAACAGCACTTCAATCAACCGACTCTGAGATCTCCTTTCAGCCCCACATCCAATCACTATTTAAATCTTTCTGCCTCAACCGCTATAACATTTCTAAACTTCGCCGTTTTTTTAACAAACAAAACCACAAAGCTAATTCACTCCCTTGTAATAACCCCATTGTACTGAAATTGTATTGTATCTATACTGCGCC